TTCCTTACTCAAACATTTGAATAAGGAATATGTAAAATTTCAAAATATTGTAAGATGTCAAAAATGAAACAGCAAATGACAAAATAGTTTTCAAAATGTACTTCTAATGCGTAGAGTTCTCATAAATACCTACCTGTTTTGACACCTACCCTTGTGTAACTGACTAAAGCCTTACTCACAGTACATCCACAGTATCTACACCCACAAAATGGTTACTTCCCCACTGTCTCATGTATAATGGGAATGAATAGGTTTGCAGAACCCCTACATTGGTTCCTTGGCCTGTGGAGTTAGAGCTATCACAGTGGAAAGGCCAAGGGGAAACTGGAAAACTATTGTCTAACTCCCTCCCAAGATGGTAAATCAGAAATAATAGTGTGTTCCTGGAGAAGAGCAGAAGTTATTTCACCCTCAGGGTCCTGAAGCACACAGGGGTAGTCGTTTCCAGCATGTCTCCATTTAGTCATTTGTAGGGCCAAACTTAATTCCATTCAAGTCTGTCCCTGCAAATAACTGAGTGATCCTGGAGGAGAGTGGAGTACCACAAATTGAACCAGACATTAGACCCCACTAGAGCTTCTTGCCACCATAGATGGTATCTTTGCTGGAGCAAAGCTTCTTTGGTAGACCTCCAAAGGCATGGGCAGTCATTTTCTAGAGCAGCAGGATCTGAAGCCCAAAAAGAAGCCAAAGACAAAGAAAACAATGTGGTTTCAAGTGTAACTTAAAAGTATAATCTTGGGGCCAGCTAGGTGGCTCAGTTGGTTAGAGGTCGAACCAACAAGGTTGCTGGTTCGACTCCCACATGGGATGGTAGGCTGTGCCCCCCTGCAACTAGATTGAAAGCGGTGACTGGACTTGAAGCTGAGCTTGCACCCTCCACAACTAAGATTGAAGGACAACAAATTGACTTGGAGCTGGTGAGTCCCAGAAAAACACAATGTTCCCTTTCCCCAATTACCCAACATTGTTCCCTTCCCCAATTCCCCAGTAAAATCTTAAAAAGAAAGAAAGTATAATCTCAAGTTGAAGGGCACAAAAACAAGGGCTCTGAATGACAAGTGTTCAAGTTGCAAATCCAGCTGCTTTTCACAGGGGCAAATCCTGGTGGCAAACTCTAGGTTGAGCAACACCAGGCTCTGATTTATTAAAAGATAGTTAGTGACTTTCCCAAGCAATGCTCGGAAAGCCAGCAAATAATTTTATAAAAGTAAGTGGAGAATATAAAAATGAAAGTACTAGTATTTGGCAAAAAAGAAATATAGGATTTCGGAGAATTATTGCTGAGAAAAAGAAGAAAATCATTAGGCATGTTGAAAACCAGAAATCTTTTTTTGTTTCCATTAAGTGATCCTTTGGCTTAAGCCATAAGACTCTGTATTTAATGCAAAGAGAAAGGACATAATTTTAAATAATATATGGAATGCTGGAACTACATAATAAAAAATATATCTAAAAGGCCTGGGGATTTACCGGTGTTATATGCTATGTTTTTATAACATATATTTTTAAGTAATAACTGATATGTTTTATGTTTCCTCCAGTCTCACACACACACACACACACACACACACACACACACAATTTCTCTTCATTTAATTTCTTCACTGATTTTTCCAGTATGGATACAGTTTATATCTGTTATCGTGGCATAATTATTCAGAGTGTCCCCTTTCACTACCAAAAGTGCCTCAGTCTTATTTTTATGATCACCCTACCTAAGGGCTTTCTTTTCAGGTCAAGTAGCTAAAAATGAATCATTAAACCTAGACATGAGTCATCATATCATAGGAGGAATATTGTCAAGGTGAGCACCTAAACTTTTTACCCTGGGTTCAAAAATCTTTGTCTGAGGGTAGGAAAGATTTAGGAAGACATCTTAGTTAGCTAGCCCTGTCCTCCACGCCACCCTTTAACACCAAGACTAGCTAAAGATCTGAGCTG